AATATAAAATACGACAAATCTAATATTACAAATATAAAATACTTACATGTCCAAATTTATATGATCAATTCACTACCTCTTCAATATCAATTAATTGGAAACGGAAAAGTAAAACTTATCCTAAACCTAAAATTAGAAAATCTATTTTGTATATGTATTTTATATTAAATATATATATTTTTACATAAATGTACAACCGGGACCCCTGTGGGAGTACGAGACGGAAATACCAACTCCTGACCCCGGTCCCGAAAATAAACAAGGTTTAATTTTGCCCCTGCTCTCGGTTTTTTTAAAAATTTAATCACGTAAGGGATCGGAATCCCACAAAAACGGGATCACACGGGAGTTTTTGACATCCTAATTGTATTAAGATGAGAGAGACGATCATATTTGTCTTTGTTATGCCCCAAGCCACACCCAAACGCAGGTGTATTGGCCCAAGCTTATAAACAAATAATATGTTAACAAAATTACAATCAACCACAAAATGATCATTTTATAATAAGTTAACGGTCTAAAATTAACGGTGTTAAAGTGAAAGAATTATTTTCTTTTTTCAAGAAAAGACCTTGCCATAAGAACGTTTTTTGTTTGCAAGTTTGACATTTGAAGGACGAGAAGCGCAAAGACCATCTTTCTTTCTGTGATCCCACCCAAATTCTTGTGCGTCTTTGAAGTTGGTGATTGCGATGCTACACGAACTCCTACTGTCACTGTTAGGCTACACAGGAGACCTAATTGTCGACGAGAGAGATCGGCAGTTATCCGTTGGTTTGTCTCCCGACGACCCCATCTCCAATCAATGTACCTTCAAGCTTGCTTCCGACATATCTTTTGTCGAGCCCAGCGAAAGGTATTTCTCATAATCTACTGTTTTTTTTTTTTTTTTTTTTTTTTCAATCTTTAAATTTCCCCAAATCACTAGGGTTTTTGAATTTCAATCTTTTTTAAGAGTACGAGTTAAGTTATCGCTTGGTTGGTCGAATATGTTAGAGTATGGGGCTGTGATAATCGAATAACTTGGATAATGAGAGGATTTGATTGACACTTCCCTTGGGTTGCACGAAATTGTTTTACGATAATCCATACTAATAAATCAACTTCGAGTTTAGGCACAAAACTTGAAGTCCTTGCTAGATTTGTGTAAATGTACGTATAAACTCGATATTCATAATCATAATTACACAATGGTTGATCTCATCTCCTAACATCTTTGACATTTCTGGCAACTCTTTCAGTCATAATCAACTTCTAAACATGTTGTTATGGTTATGAATCACAGGGATATTATTGAGAAGACGATTGCTTTAGGGTTTTACTATCGTGAACTTGATCGATTTGCCACCAAGTCACGAAATTTAAGCTGGATAAGGCCTGGGAATGAGTCTCCTACGCCATACACTTCTGTCTTTCCAAAAGAAAAGATGGAGAATCAGAGTGTTTATAGAAGGGCCATTGCCAATGGCATTACAGAAATTCTTTCAGTTTACAGATCTGCCATTTTGCATATGGAGCAGAAGTTACTTTCAGATCATCTACCCATCTTAGCTACAGTTACTCAAGGCCTGAACAAGGTGCAGTATTTTCATCTCATTGTATTACTGTTTTGTTTTTTCATGTTCTTTTAGCTCTTAATGATTCAAGTTCTTTTTTTTTTTTTTTTTTAGTTTTTTGTTCTTTTGCCACCTCTATATGAGCTGATTCTAGAGATTGAGCGTGATGGCATTTGTGGAGGGAAGCTTCTTAATCTTCTACATAAACGATGCCACTGTGGGGTCCCAGAGTTACAAACATGCATTCAGAGGTATTATATATATATATATATATATATATATATATATATATATATATATATATATATATATATATTTTTATCAAAAAGAATATAAAAAATAACAAGCTATTAAACTTTGTATTACGAACAGACTTCTTTGGCATGGACATCAGGTCATGTACAATCAACTTGCATCCTGGATGGTGTATGGGATTCTTCACGATCAATATGGAGAATTTTTCATCTCTGAGTAATACTTTTTCTAAATTTTCTGTTTTTGATACAATACTGTTTGTTGACAGCTGTCTAAATGATGACTTTGATTTTAATGTTTTTAGGAAAGAAGGAAACTCAGATATGAACATAACTGAGAAGTTAACACGTATGTCAGTTAATGATGGAACTTTAAGTGATTGGCATTTGGGATTTCATATTTCCTTGGTACTTAATAACTAAATTTCTTCTTTTTTTATGATTTATTCAAAACTGGTAATTTTCATAAAAGTTTCTTCCAGGATATGTTGCCAGAATATATTCCATTACACGTGGCAGAATCCATTCTATTTGCTGGAAAAGCAATTAGGGTTCTTCGTAATCCAAGTTCTGCATTTCGTTCTGTAGATGCAAAACATACAAAATTAATGGGTGATGAACTTTTGCCACAATCTGAATCTGATAAGATTGAATCCATGCTTCAAAATCTTAAGGAATCATCTGAGTTTCACAAAAGATCATTTGAGGGTTCTGTTGATTCAATCAGAGCTATTGCAGCAAGTCATCTTTGGCAGGTAGAACTGTTTGCTATTTTTTTTTTTTTTTTTTTTTACTTTTTATCTTGTCTCTATGATCTGATTAATATCTTGCAAATTTAATTAATGTGTAATGTATGCAGCTTGTGGTTGTACGTGCTGATCTAAATGGACATTTGAAAGCCATCAAAGACTACTTCCTTCTTGCAAAAGGCGATTTCTTCCAGGTAATTTTTGTCTTTTTATTTGTATTTTGTTATATATATTTTTTAATGTGAATTTAATAAGATTTTCACTGTGTATAAAATAGAGTTTTCTTGAGGAGAGTCGTCAGTTGATGCGTTTACCACCTCGACAATCAACTGCTGAAGCTGATCTTCTGGTTCCATTCAGACTGGTATTTTTTTTTTTTAAAAAAAAAAATTCAAAAATGAGTAAATTACACGAATGGTCCCTATGGTTTGGGGTAATTTGCATGTTTGGTCCCTAACTTATGTTTTTAACTCGGAAGGTCTCTACTGTTTGTTATTGTTACACATTTGGTCCCTATTGTTTGTTTTTGTTACGCGTTTGGTCCCTATCTTACGTAAAAAGACAATTATTTAAATAGAGAAAAATGATAGAGTAGGTAAGGTAAGGAGAGAGGATGAGATTGAGGGTGTGTTTATTTAAATAAATTAAAAAATCAAGGGAAAAATAGACTTTTATGTAAGACAGGGACCAAGCGTGTAACAAAAACAAACAGTAGGGACCTTCCGAGTTAGAAAAATAAGTTAGGGACCAAACACGCAAGTTACCCTAAACCATAGGGATCATTCGTGTAATTTACCCTTCAAAAAATTGGATGCAGTAGAACCAATTTATTTCATTTTAAATGGATTGAAATGAAGATTCACATATCTGTAATGCAGGCAGTAACAAAGACTATTAGTGATGATGATAAGTATTTTTCAAGAGTAACACTAAGGTAAAATAATGCATTTTCTATTTCAGAATTGTAACTTGAATAATTAGATATTTATAAACTACTTCCAGGATGCCTGGAATTGGGACAAAAGCAGATGTATCCAAATCAAAATATGTTGATGGTGATTCAAGTTTGTTATCTGATACTTCAATGGAGATGTCACTTGATGGGTGGGATGGTATAGCCCTAGAATATTCCATTGATTGGCCCTTACAGTTGTTCTTCACACAACAAGTTCTCTCCAGGTTTTCTTTCTGACATTTTATCAAACACCTTATGCTCAATCTCAATCCCAAACTCAAATCACAATCCTTATCTATAAAATGTAAACAGGTATCGCAGGATTTTTCAGTATTTACTGCGTTTAAAGAGGACACAGATGGAGTTAGAGAAGTCATGGGAATCAGTAATGCAGCAAGACCACTCGAATTTTTCCAAACGTGTAAATGGATCAACATCAACATCAACATCACAACAGAGAAGACAATGCTTTAGGCCTATGTGGCGTGTTAGAGAACATATGGCATTCTTGATTAGAAATCTTCAGTTTTATATCCAAGTTGATGTCATAGAATCTCAATGGAATGTATTACAAACCCATATACACGAGTCACGTGATTTTGCTCAGCTTGTGGACTTTCATCAAGAGTGAGCTACCTATATATATATATATATATATATATATATATATATATATATATATATATATATATATATATATATTCTTTTATAAAAATATATGTTTTTGCTTTTATCTTATTGTTAAATTAAATTGGTATTTTGTAGATACTTGTCAGCTTTGATATCACAATCCTTCTTGGATATTGGCTCGGTATCAAGAATATTGGATGGAATCATGAAGCTTTGCTTGCAGTTTTGCTGGAAGATTGAAAACCAGGAAACCAATGCAAGCACCATTGAACTCGAGCGTATAACCGAGGTCATTTTTTGCTTTCACCTTTCTGATGAGGGTATTCATGTCTTTTGACATCAGTATTAGTTTTAACATTTTTTTTGGGAAGTACAGGAATTTAACAAGAAGTCGAATTCGTTGTACACAATATTGCGGAGTAGCAGGCTTGCGGGAAGTCAGCGGGCCCCTTTTCTTAGGCGTTTCCTTTTGCGACTAAATTTCAATTCCTTCTTTGAGGTAAAATAGTAATACTCTTTAGAATTATGTATTGAGTTAAATCTCTTTATTTATTTATTTATCTGACTTTGTAATAATTAATGTTGATAGCAAACTGCACAAGGAGTTATGAATGTCATAAGGCCACGTCAAACAATCCCAGTCCTACAACGGTAGCCAGCATTTTTGTCATAGGGTTAATTAAATGTAAGAAATAGCAAAAAAAAAAAAACGTACTTTTCGTTATGTTCTTGTGGTTATCAGATTCTAAGATTAAAGTGTATGTTGGTGTGACGTAATGTAATGTAAATTGTAATTTCTTGATATGAGGATTAGAAATGTGTGTGTATTCATACAGAGAAAGTTGGGAATCTGTTGTTTATATGATGAGTGATTGCATTAATATTTATTTGAAACCAAAGAGATCATTGCATGAAAAAAAAGCCATCACTTAAAATGTTATGATAATTTCTTTTAATGATACAAAGTCTTATGGCAATGAAGAAGAGAATTGATGATTGTGTGTAATAAGGATTGACAAAATGTGTTTAGACTTTAGAGCTCCTCAAATCCTTCTTCATCACCTTCTTCCTCGACCCTCTGAAATCGCATCCTCCAAGTCTCCATCTGTAAGGTTTACATAAACATGTAACAACTTACACACATTCAAATGGGACCATACATTATCTCTTACCTCATCATCAGAAAATCGTAGATGCTCTGCAACAAAAAGCAAATTATTGGGGATTCCTTCTACCTGTTCTCGACCAAGGCTTCTTGCAACATCATCATAACCTATGATTTGCACTCGAAAACCATAGCTTATGAAAACCTCATACATCCATGTCTCCATATTTAGCTGTCAAAGAAGCTATTAAAATGGTGAACATTACAGGTATAGTAAAAAACAGTAAAAAAAATCATTAGAGTATGAGCCAACCTTTGCCCCCTTGTCATTTTCAGTCAACCACAATGGAAATTCACCCACCAACAGACATCCTTTCATGGCTAAATTACTAACCATAAACAGAATCTCCTTAAAAGTAGCCAAATTTGTGACTGGAAAACCCTATAGTAAAAAGTAAAAAGGGGCAAGATCAGATGATGACGATGATGATGATAATGGGATTAGAAGTTAGAAGATGATCCGTTTGTTCACCTGGAAAACCCATATACTTGGTCTGGAACCATTAAATCCTTTATCACGTAAAAGTTGTTGCATATCAGATGACTCCAAAGGAACATGAAGAAGCAAACAGCTTCTTGGAATTTTAGCACCAACATCTATGAATTTCTAAGAAAATCCATCATAAGGATTGTTGCGCATTCAATTAAATATTATCTGCTTTGCTTCTAAAACGTTGGAAGATACTTAATTACGAACCTTGGAGCTTTTGAGATGCTTTACTGAATACTGATTGTGGTGATACATCATAGATTACAGTTGAAGAAGGCCAATTGAGGCGATAAGCCCTAGTATCCATTCCATCTGTGAACATTACAACCTGCAGAGGTAGAGATGGATGATTCAGGAAGTTTAGGGAATTTTGACGAACTTGGTACCTACCTGTTTAGCTCCATCAGCGCCCTTGGTTGCGTTAAGCAGCTTATCATCGATAAATCTAGTGCCAATGCAGTAATGGTGATCCGAATTTTTGTCGAGCTCAAGGTCAAGGTCAGGAGGCACAAAGCAGCCAGCGTAAGGATCGACAAAAAGAGGCTCTGCATTATACAATTAAAATTTTGAAAATCAAGAATGTTCTTTCCTTTGAGCATAAGGTGTTCGATGATATGCCTGAAAGAGGTGAGTGTTTTACCTGGTCGAAGAGCTTCTTGGAAACGATAGGAGGCTCGAGAAATGGCGGATTTGAAGAATAGGTGGTCATGGGGGTCATTTTCGTGGAAGCAGATTTTGGCTGTAACATTGAGGCAGCCATTTTTGTTGTTTCTTTGAATTGAATTGGAAAACAGTGATTGGCGCAGAATAGGAGGAGCTGCTGGGGAGTGTACAAAACAGTGTCCACCTATAAAACACTCAAGTTCCATGATTGATGATTTAGAGCGAGCTTGTTGATCAATTCGATCTTCCCCTGTATAATGCTTCAAGGACAACTGCCATTCGTTTTAATATAAACTACAAAGGGTTAATTTATTTAGACAAAACCGCAAAAAATGTTTTTTTTTTATTTTTTTATTTTAGTTCAAATCATAACTTTTTTTTGTTTTATGGTTGTTTTGGACTAATTTTTATGTAAAAATAATCTTTTCGGAAATTGAAATGATTATAATACCCTTGAGTATTTATTTTCTATTTTTCTTTCATATATATTTTTTTATTTTAACAATTAAAAAATAAAAGAGGATATATATATATATATATATATATATATATATATATATATATATATATATATATATATATATATATATATATATATATCCAACATTATTGCTCTTTCATCCATACTCCAACATGACCACCCACCACCATCCTTGAAACCAACTCCGACAACCAGCGTAGAACACCACCAATAACCACCAATGCTAAATCTAACGACACTAAAACATAATGAAACCTTAAACCAAAAATTAAAACCAAACCAAACCATTTTTCTAAGAAACTGCATCAATTCTATATAAAAGATTTGATTTTAGTCCTCGATTTCAACCTGTATCAAACCGATCAAACCAGGAAAAAAACTCAAAACCTTGTTTATAAGAAACTGCATCAATGCCACCAGCTTAGCTTCGATTACAGGTCCAAAATCACCAATTGGCTTCAATTTATATTCACATATTTCCCCCTAAAATCCCCAATATTTATCAAATTAAGATTACAATTTCACAGTTCATAAACCAATCTGGAAAAGGTAATTGACGTAAATATTAAATAAACGAACGAATGATAGATGATTGAAGATACGCTACCTATTGATGAAATAAAAATCATAATAAAGTAATCTGGGTCTAATTCCTCACGGCCGGTAACCTATATCTATGTCGAAAGTCGTTACCGGAGTTTTGAGAATATCGGAGTTGTTGAGACCAAGATTAGTAATGGCGATGACGCTTTCCGGCGAGAGAGGGGGGGGGGGGGGGGACGAGATGTGCGTGATCTGGGGTTGTTGAAACCAAGAAATCAGAAACTAGAGAGAAAATCGACCAACCTTCTTTGTTGGGGTTGGGTGGGTTAGAGGGTTTCAGATCGTCAGTGAGATGATGACACATGTTCTCAATCTTCATTACCTTTATCAGCTTCGCCGGAGACTATGGGTTTGGTTGTCTTCACCGGTGGCAACAAGGAGGAAGTTTGATTTGGAACTTCTTCATCCCAAGAAGTGTGGTTGTTTTGTTGCAATGAGTGTATGTATCTGGTTTTATTTTTTTGGATCATACTTCATGAGAGAGAGAGAGAGACCCTTCTTGATTTGATTTAACATTTATATTTAAATTGTAACACCCCGATTCTCAGGTATTGTTTAAATAATATTTATTGGGTTAAGCTCTACTCGACGAGTTGGTTGCCCTACTCGTCGAGTAGCAGCGGGGTGGGATCGCGTGTTAAGTGACCTACTCGACGAGTAGGAGCTAGCAGATGAAGCCCTAAATCCCGGGGTTTGCACCCCTATTTAAAGGAGCCTCAGCCTCCTTTGGCCTCTTTGCAGTCTTTGAGAGCTCCTTAAAACCCTAATTCGTGTGGTATTCCATTTTGGTGTGTCTTAAGCTTGGAAAGAAGGTTGGCTAGAAGAGAAAAGCTAGAAGTGCAAAGGAATTGAAGCAAGGAAGGTGTGGGAAGCAGAATTTACCTCAGCTAGCATCCCTTGGAGGTATCAAGTTGCCATCCTTACTTCCCTTTTTCCTTTTTGTTGATTTTTTTTTTTTTTGGGGGGGGGGGGGGTTATGGATTTTGAGGTTGATAAGGTGGGCTATGGGCTAGATCTGAAGTTGTAACTTTAGATCTGGACCCTCCTTAAGTTTTAGAATCATAAAGTTGTTGTATTGGTTGTGAATGAGGCCCTCCTTAGGCATGAGACCCCATTAAGAGCTTAGATTTGGCATTTAGAATCTTTGTAGCTATGCATGCACGTAAAGTTTGCAACTTTACGTGAAAAGCATGCCCTAGAAGCTTGAATCTATGATTTGGAGCCGCTACATGGCTCAAAATAGGTCTGTATGGAAAAAGGACTGAATGGACTCGGCGAGTCGCAAGGTTGACTCGGCGAGTCACATGAAGATGGCCGTGAACTCGACGAGTTGGAGGAACAACTCGACGAGTCCGACGATGATTTCCATAGACTAGAACAACTCGGCGAGTCGGGCGAGTTTTCTACAAGATATGTATGCGTGTATATCTATTAAGTTGCAAGGAGGAAACTCGACGGGTGGCCTTAAAGTTTGATCGAGAATCGAAGGAACTCGACGAGTCACCCCGATGACTCGGTGAGTTGGAATGTGCTTCAAGGAACTCGACGAGTCGAGGTCAACATGGACTGTTGACCTTGACTGAGGACTTTGACTTTGATCAGGGGTTGACTAGTGGGTTATGGAGTACCTTATAAGGTTAAGGACTTACGAGTATATTGTACTATGATAATAGGTGGTGGAGCATGTGTCAAGTGATCCGAGAGTTGGAGTTTACCTTCCGAATCGACATCTGCGAGGTGAGTTATCCTCACTATATAGATAGGGTCTACGGCACCAAGGCCGGCCCTTTAGTTGTTATTGTTATGGTCTGATACATGTGGTTATGATCTGTTAGATTGGAATCAGGGTAGACAGTATGTTATGCTCTTATGATCCGTAGGGATTGGTATGTTAGTGACCTGCTAGGTCGATACTCTAGTTACAGGAGAATTCTATGATTGATGATCAGTGAGATAGATATGTTGATGTTTGTATATGTCAGTATATGATAGTTATACGCATATGGTTATTTGCTTATTGGTTGGGTTGAGGCGGTCCTGCTTTGTGCTGAAGGCCAACATACCCTATGAGCGGTCCGGGGAGACTGTAAGCCCACGTGGCGGACCAGTCATGTTGAAGGCTCAGGATAGATCCAGACAGAATGTAGGCTTGGTAGGGCGGTCCATTCAGGCTGATGGCCCAATATGCATGTTGATTGATTGATTATTACTGATATGGTATTGTTAGTGTGGTATTGGTATTTTGGGGGTAGCTCACTAAGCCCTCGGGCTTACAGTTTTCAGTTTATTGTTTCAGGTACTTCAGGAGATCGTGGCAAGGCGAAGGTGTGACCGTACCACTCCTCATCCTTATATTATGATTTTGGGACACTCTTATGGATATTGATTTGAAAACATTTTTGTAAACAAACGCTGTTTGATTTTATTTATGATTGAAAAAGTTTAAATTTGGCGTAAAATTTATGGATGTTACATAAATAAAAGAAAAAAAAATAATTAAGTAAATGGAAAAAACCAATTAAAAGGGCAAATTCATCTTTTCAAGTTTATCGGAGACCAGTTTTACAATGAAACTAGCCCAAAAGGACCACGAAGCCAAAAATAACCCGTAGTTTGGACCAAAACCCCCAAAAAATGCATATCACAGGGACCATTTTTTCAATTTTGTCATTTATTTATTTATTTATTTTATGTGTCCTCCAAATTCCCGGAACAAATTCTTTAGCTCTAATCCTGTGAATTTCTTCCTAAAGTTTGCAAAGATGTGTCTAACACATTGTCTATGTTCAACATGGGGGAGTAGGTCTGCCACAGCCTGTAGAAGTCCTTATAGTTAACAAACAAGCACATCACATGTAAAAATTAATGAGTATATATTGTATACTAATATATGTTTTTGGTACCTTGTGTTGGTCGAAGATAACAACCAGTCCATTGCCACCACCAAGATCCAAATCAACAACCAAATTCTCAATGAACAAGGTCCAGTTGTCCTTATTCTCAACATTCACAACTGCCCATGCTATTGGGTAGAGATGATTGTCTGCATCCCTCCCAATAGCAATTAAAATATCCCCCTTTACCTGTCCCTTCAAGAAACTACCATCTAATCCTATTACCATTCTATATCCTCTGTTCCATCCATCTCTGAAAGCCTTGAAGCCAACATAAAACCTTTTGAAATAGTTACACCTCGGATTACTTTCTACCCCCACCAAGCAAGTTGTATCCGGATTACTCAACCTAATTGCAGCTTCATAGTCCCAAACCTTGGCATAGTGGTCTTTTAACTTCCCTTCTATCATCCCCATTGCAATAGCCCTTGCTCTTTGGCATTGCCCAACAGATACACTCACTGAAAATAGGGTTCTGATATGACTGGAGTACGCCCAGCGTACTCCAGGGAACATTCATGATCCTCTTGGTCAGTACACCCAGCGTACTACCTTCTTTGGTAGTGCTCCCCGCGTACACTTGTACGCCCCGTGTACTCAGCTAAGCCTGAAAACCACGAAACTTTTGAAGGCCATAACTTCTTCGTTATAAGCCCGATTCTTACGATCCTTATATCCACGAAAAGCTGATGAGAAGCCCTACACTTCTAACAACTCAAACATTTCTTAAGACCTTCCGAACAAAAATCTATTTTCTACAAAAGCCCGAACTGCCACTTTACCAAAATACCCCTAGGCTCCAAAACACGAACCGAACACCCGGATCACTTCTAATACATCACCCGCACCTGAAAGGGCCTAGATCTTACCTTCCCAAGAGTCATAATCCTTATAATGACCGACCTTAGAGTCACCGCCTCAGACTAGGAATCAATTCGAAACAGAGCGTTACACTTAGGATTGAGTCTTTTGTTTCCTTTTAAGCATTTGTGGTTTGACCTATTTAAAGGGTGGAATTAAGAGAAATAAAATCAAGATTGAATTGAACAAATTTTAATATTTTTAATTAGCTTAACCTAGTTTCCTCGCCAAGGAGATTAGGTCTTTTTCTTCTACGACTTCAGCAAATCGCAAGTGTAATACCCATTTTCAGAATAGATCAGTTGAGGACATGGAGGGATCAATATACGGTTTTTGGGAAAAGTCTCGTGCCACGATGTGGTAAAAGGAACGCCATGACGTTGCAGCTGGTGCAGCCTAAGCCCACAAGTTTTATGGTTTTCTCCATATTTAAGGACCTTAACTTTAGGTTTAGATCATTATTTTCAACCTCCACCCTCTTATCTTGAAAATTTTAGCCCCATTTGAGTGTTCTTGGTGTGGTTGTGGTGTTCTTGAAAATTTAAGCCTTAGATTGCATCTTAGAGAAGAAGAATGTTCCTTTTGAGCAAAGATCCAACAAGAAAGCATCCTCACCACCTTCTTGCATACCTTCTATACCTTTGTAAGTCCCCAAGTTTCTACATTTATGTGATATTCTTCTAGATATAGGCTTTAAGCTTGTTCTTCATGATTCAAGGTGATTTGAGTGGATGGATTCCATAAAGTTGGTAGTTTTATGGATCCTTGAGGTACATTTATAATTATATGTTCCAAATCTAATGATTTATAAAGTCTTTGGTCTCAAGCAAGAGTTTTGGAAATCATTTTTTTCATTAGCTACCTAGTTTGGAAAGGACATGCATGTCCATAAAACAATGATTTTATGATGTATTTAGGTGTTATAAAGATTCTTGAAAAGTATGAGTGGATGGCTTAAAGGATTAAGCTCTCAATAAAGAATATGACAATTTGTTTGTGACCAGGACATCGCAAAGGGCTTGCCACAATGTGCTGATACTCTGCATCGTGACTATCTCGTCTTGGCATGCCCATGACGTGGCCAAGAGGTTGATGTGTTTTAGCCATAAGAACATCCTATGTGCTCATACAAACCCTAATGCTTGGATCTAGGTTTCTCTATTGTACATGCAATTCATCCAAGACTATAAACCCTAATTCTAGCATATGATAATCGATATTAATATAATAATGGGTTTAAGATATTACCTTGATAGTTATGTAGCAATAACAATCACAATTCCTCCTTGTAATGAATTTAGAAAGCTTAGAGTCACAAATGTCACTCCTCTAATGGTTCACATACACCAAGAGCAAGAGGATGAAGAACAAGGAGAGTGGAGGCTGCCCAAAATCATCCAAAACCCTAGAGGATCTCATCACCACATTTTTGGGGCTTAAGGGTGCTATTTATACATGTAGGCTATTAGGCTTTTAAATTAGGAAACCCTAATCTGACTGCTTAAGCCCTAAGCAGCCCATGGATTCCTTTCTTAAAGGCTTTGGACGATTTCTAATGGGTTTCCCCATAGAATTCGTCCAACCTTATATAATAGAGTAATCCATAGCCCAATTGTAATTATCTTATAATTACAATTCCAGTCCCTTCAGTTTAATTAATCTCTTTTAGCCACAAAATTAATTATCAATTAATTCTTGACTAATATTAATTAAAC